TAGTCATGTATGGACGTGAGAGTCGGACCATAAAGAAGGCTGAGCACTACAGAATTGATGCTTTCGAACTGTAGTGCTGGAGAAGACTCTTTAAGTGTCCCTTGGACAGCAAGGAGATCAAACCAGTCAATCCTAAAGGAAATAAACCCTGAACATTCATTTGAAGGACTGATGCTGAAGCTGAAGCTTCAGTAGTTTGGCCACCTGATGCAAAGAGCTGACTCCTTTGAAAAGATTCTGATGCTGGGAAAGATTGAAGGCAAAAGGAGAAGAGGGTGGCAGAGAATGAAATTGTAGATAGCATCACTGACTCAATGGACATGAATTTGAGCAAACTCTGGAAGATGAAGGACAGAGAAGCCTGCCATGCTGCAGTCCTTGAGGTCACAGAGTCAGACACGACTTACTGACTGAGTAACACTTCTGGAAAGCTTGGGTTTGCAGTGTTGGGCTAAGTAAAGGTTTCTTGGATTGGATACAAAAAACCTGAAACATAAGAGAGAAAACTTGACATTGAACTTCATCAAAATTTAAAACTTTTATGTTTTGAAAGAGATTGTTAAGAAAATGAAAAGGCGAGGTACAGAATGGGAGAAATTACTTGAAGCACATATTCTGATAGAGGATTGTATCTAGAATTATTACATCGCAATAAGGTAAAAGACCCATGTATGTGTGTGTGAATGTATGTGTGTGTGTGTTTACATGCATATATGTATCTATAATGAATAGGTGAACGTGGATGGACATACAAATGTATACCGCAAGGAATGTGAGCAGGCAGGTTCCTAAAGACGGTGTGCAAATAATCAGGAAGCACATGAAACCACACGCAGCATGTCAGTCGTTTGGGAATTAAATTAAAATCAAAAACAGTGTCCTACCACTGCACGCCTAGAATAGCTAAAATAAAAGACGGGCAACATCAAGTGTTGGTGAGGTGTGGACCTACTCGCGCACACTGCTAGTGGGAGTGTAAAATGGTTTATCCACTTTGGAAAAGATTTGTAATTTCTTATGCATTTAAACATATACTTACCGTTTGATCCAGCAATTAATTCCGTTCCTAGGTGTTTACTCAAGAAAAAATGAAACTGTATGTCTACAAAAAGTCTTGCACATGAATATTCACAGCAGTTTTGTAATAACCGAATGCTGGAAACAACCCAAATGCCCAGCAGTTGGGAGAGATGAATAAGTTGTGGCACATTTATGCAATAGAATATTGCTCATCTATAAAAAGGAATGAACTACTGGCACACACAGAGTTCAGAATACTCTCAAAGTTATTACTCTCAGTAAAACCAGTCATAAACAAACGTGAGCATACTATATGCTTCTGTTCATGCAAAATTCCTAGAATAAACAGCTAGTGACAGAAATTAGATCATATGTTGCCTCAGACCAAGGGTGAGGGTAGGGAATTGACTGCCAAAGGGAAGTTTATTATATAAATTATAGCTCACTAAAGTTGGTATTTAAAAGAATAGTAAGTACTATCAACAACTACTTGCCAAGAGTTTTGAAAACTTAACATGAACTAGACAAATTCCTGAAAACATTTTATAATAGAATTGACTGAAGAAGAAATAAAAAGCTTGAAAGCTTGACTGGTGCTAACACTTAAATAAACTGAAGCAATGGTTTAAAATCTTCCCGTAGAAAAGTGCAGAGCCAGATGGTTTCACAGGCATGTTCCACCAGCCTTTGAGGCAACAGGTCAGGCCGGTTTATACAAATTCTTCCCAGCTATGGAAGAAAAGGGACTACCTTCCAACTCATACTGAGAGGTCAGCATAACTCTAATAAATTCAAAGACATTAAAAAAAAAAATCGTGAGTTTGACTCACTCCTGTATATAGATGTAGAGATTCCAAACACATAAGCAAATCAACTTCAACTTCAAAGGGCAATACTTTACCTCCAGGTTGGGCTTTTTGTAAGTATGCAAGGATGGCATAAAACTGAGAAGTAATTTACTGCAGTAATAGATTAAAAGAGAAAAAAAGTGTGGTCATTTGAATAAATGCATTTGATAGAACTCAACACCCAAATACAAGTAATGTTTTCTGGTTAGATTATTTCTCTTTTTTTTTTTCAATTTTTTATCTTACAATTATTTTAATAAAAGCATGTATTATTTATATAATGGGTGGGGACCCCAAAATATTTTCAAAGGAGAGAGAAAATCACTTGGATTGCTAAAATAGAAACTGCACTCAAGGTCTATTCCAGGTTTAGAAAACCAATGGAGATTGGCTGACATCCTGAAAGACTGATCTGTTCTTTAATTTTTGGCCAGATAGCTCCAAGCTCAGGAAACCTGTAAACTTGCTCACAGATGAGAATGATAACAGCAGTAGCTACTGTTTAGAGGCAGGGCCTTGTGCTTACCTGTTTGTACCTGTCATCTCCAGCACTGCTGTACGGAGTCTATCCTTGCTTTATAGACGAAACCAAGAGAGCTGACAGAACTGAGTCCAAAGATGCACGTAAGCCCTCCCCCAGTGACAGGAAAACCATCTGAAGGGCAAGTGACACTGAAGGGTCACTAAATCACCATCTTGGTGTAAACAGTAACAAATTACAATAAACTGATTCAGAAACTGCTGAAGAACAGGATCTAACAATATTTACTGTTAAAAGATAGGTGTTCAAAGATGACCTGTCTTCCATCGTTGCCTTTAATAGTTAAATGCTTGCTACTTATAAACTCAGTGACTTTAGTAAATTCTTATTCTACACAGATATAGGTAGGTTTGAAATCCTAAAAGTAGAACATTAAGCTAAACGATAACTTTCCTAACACTTTTTTCAGTTTCTTTTTTCTTTTTCAATGGCACCTCATGGGAGCCTAGTTAACTATGTGCAACCTTAGAATCACCTCTGATCTCCTCTGTTCACTTGTGTGTGTGTGTGCGCGCGTGAGTGCACGTGTGTGCTGTGCCACACAGCTTGTGGGATCCTACTTTCCTGACGAGAGATTTGGACCCATGCCCCTGGCAGTGAAACCACTGGACCGCCAGGGAATTGCCTATTTTTTTTTCAGTGTTGAAAACCTAGATAGATGATGAATATACTTAAGCCGGAGTGAAGCATAAGTGGACACTGGAACATTTCTCTACCTGCTCCCCTCCGCTAGTACAGGTCTGTGAGCCTGTCCTCGATGAAGAATAGCAATCACTGTTTACCCAGAGGCTTTCATAATAACAACACTGGTGCCCGAATTTGTATCTTTAAAGACTCATTTCAGGATTTGGGAGCTTCTGGGACCATAACTTTAACCCAGCCTTCCTTTAAGTCTTCTTACTTTCTAGTATGGAACAGGATACTGCAATAATGGCAATGAACCGCTTCAGCTTTTTCACTTCTGCAGAAGCTAAAACAACTTCCCCAACATATAAAGGAGCTGGAAAGTTAATTTCCTGGGAAAGAAACACACAGCCTGGCCCTGGCATTTTAGTACCGAGGAGAGCTGAAATAAGTCCATTGATCAAAATTCCATGGACAATTGTCTTTCTAAATCTGGTGTGTTTCATCTAAGTGCAAAGGATTGACATCCCCTGTTAATTCTGAGAAGGTGGCCACATCCCTCTTTGTGAAGGCCCTCCTGAGTTCAGCCCGGTCTCCAACTCTGAGGTGCATGTGCTCTAAGGGCTGCCTGTTCAGCACTGCTTGGCTCAGGCAGATTCCCTTGTGAAGCCTACATCACCAAAGGCGATGGCTGGACATTACTGGGAATATCTTCAGCACTCTCAAATTCCATCGACAGGAGCTTATGGGCTGCTTCAGTCTCCAAACATTATGCTGGCACCAAATAGTACTTTTGAGAGTGAGGAATATTTTCTCAAATTGAAGACTACTCAATTCAGTACTAGTTCCCTACTATTGCCAGATAATGCAAGGAGAAATGGAGAAACCTGAATCACTCTGAAAGCACAGTTCTTGCCTTTATAGGATCCCAACAGGGTCAGAGAGCTCCACAATTTGACAAGACCACTGCTGCTTATCCTCAGGATGGCTGACAGGGTCTTCTCTTTATAGATTAGAACGTCCAAAGGTAAGGCAGCATCAGCCTCACCAAACAGGTCCTTCAGGGCTGAAATAAGCAGCTGTTTGAATTGTGCAGCATTCAGGGCAGCCCCACAATCTTGGAATTCTAGGTTCACTTTCATGTGGTGGTACTCAAAGGGATTTTTGTAAACAATTCTTTCATATGTGGTTGCTGGGGCTGGCCTCTTTTTCCAGTGCTGATCACATCTACCTTGAGTCAAGACGGTGTTGGGCGGGTGAAGTCGTTTTCAACTTTTTTACTAACTTCAGCCGCTGATTTCGCGTCCGCCTGAGGCCAGGCGCATGCGCTCTGCACACGTGGTCGCGCTCAGTCCTCTCAGCCTTCTGACACCGCGTTGCAGAGAAGCGCAGGATGGTCCACGGCCCGGCCCTCGCCTTAGCCCATGGCCTCCGCTGCAGGAGCGGGAGGTACCCTAGGCCGCTTCTCTCTGCCCGCCGTCCCTCCCTATTTCTCATTTTGATTGTGGGAATGTTAGCAAGACTGAGAAACATGATCAGAAACAGAATTTTGCTATTTTGATCAGTGACCAAGAGACATTGATGGAGAATCTGTTAGCATAAGGGGGAGGCCGTAGATCGAACAGTGTTTAAAAGCAAGGATGCTGGGACACAGCCCTGGGATAGTCTTGGCTCTGCCACTGGCCACTCTGTAAGACCAGGGAGAAGTTACATATGTACTCTCTGGGAGGTATTATCATGGGCCTGATGAATTAACGTGTGTGAAGCCCTTAGCATGCACTGGCGTATGCTTTCCAAACAATGTCATTTATATATTATTGTTAAAATGCATACAACATAGTATAGTGTCTGTTTAAGGCCATCTTGATTTTAGCCAAAGGCTCAGGTAATGACTACAAATAGTCTTTGTTGAAAGTGCCTTCCCTTTCAGATTACAGGCTGACTCCTTTTGTCTGTGTGTCCCAAAGGTGAGCGATTTCACGTGGAGCCACGATGGGACGCAAGCACTTATTTCATATCGAGATGGGTTTGTCCTGGTTGGTTCTGTCAGTGGACAAAGACACTGGTCATCTGAGATCAACTTGGAAAGTCAAATCACCTGTGGCATATGGACACCTGATGACCAGCAGGTAACACCTCTTGTACATGATGTGTCATGTTCAAACCGCGTGAGCTAAGGGGGAAAGGCGTTAAGTTTTAACACAGGGAGGAGGTGGGGAGGAGCCAACTCAAAAGGCTCGTAGAGTCACAAAGGAAAAGAGCACAGAGCTTGTCCCAAGTAACAACTGACAGAAAAATTTTGTGTGAACCATAAGTTGAGGAAATAATATTCCCCATCAGTATTGTAAATAGAGTTAATAATTTAATTGTAGAAAATACTCATACAAATTTAAAATCTACAGGAAGAGCCAATTAATAAATGGATAATGGACATAAGTTATTCACAAAAGAGGTTCAGCTTGTCATTAATCTTAGTGGGAAAGTATGTATTCTGGGGGAAAAAAGCAAAATTTATACAGTGAAGGTATATTTTCACTTATTAATAGAAAAAGTGATACAGATGATTTTATTGATCATTCATAAGAGTTTAATCAAATAATTATTCTCATTCATTGCTGGTAATAATATACATTAGATATTTCAGGAAGCAAAAATTTAGTACAATTTTTAAGCAAGTCTTAAAAATTATCATCTATTCTGATCTACTAATATGCTTTAGGAATTTATCTAAAAGAAACCAAATGGAAAGAAAATAAAAGTTGTAGTCATTAAAGCATTTATGATTGTAAAAGTTTGGCAACAGTCTACTAGTATAAAAATGGTTAAGTAAGCTGTGGTATAACCACTTGAAGGATCATATTGGAGTTCAGTAAGTTAGAGATTGTGGTTATAAAGATGGTGTATAATCTGAAAGGGCTCTTGTGATACAGTGTTAAGAAAAGAGCCAGGATACGAAATGGTATGTGTGGTATGAGTACCACATCCTAAAACAACCAAAGGAAACTACCCATCTTGTAAAAAGAACTGGAAGGAAATTAATCAAAATGTTACAAGGAGGTGGTTACTTTATGCTGATAAGCCTCTGGGTCATTTTTAAAACCTGATTTCAAATTTTCCCTTGATGTGCCTATTTTATATTCATGATAAAGCAATATATAATAACCTAATAAAATTATATATTGATTATTATTTTTTTAAATAAAACCTTTATAAATATAAGACTTGTGTTTTCCAAGTACAACAGAATCCATTAAATACCAGGACATTTCACACTCAAGATTTCAGTTTAATTTTGGTACAATTGAACAGTATAATATGAAACCATAAGTTTGGGGGGGACTTTTTTTTTTTAATGAATTGCTTGCCTGTAGTCACCGTGTATTTCATATTTACAGTTTTTTCAAGTAAAAATGTTCAATATTTTTTCCTCTTCTCAAAATTTGTGGTTTGAGAATTACAAAAGATAGTCTCTTCTGAGTTTCTGAGTCCTTCCCTCACCCTCCCCTAGAGACATCTCATGACCCAGTAGCATGTGTGTGTTTCTGTTAGAAGCACTCGGGCTTATTTATTGCGTGGGTTTATCTCTGTGGGCTTCTCCTGTCCCTGCCGTCCGCTCCGAGGCTGCTCCTGCGGCCCAGTGAGTGGCTGCGCACAGGTGCTTCTCTCCCGGCTCCAGCTCCCTCCTCTGTGAGAGGGGTGCGAGTTATCTCCTGCCTCATTCCCAGGGTCTCTGTAATGACCAGATAAGGGAACACGTGCAGGCCCTTCAGAATATGTCAGAGGAAGTCTCAACTTGGCATGCTCCTCGCACCTAGAGTGATGGAATCACGAGGCTCCTGTCTCAGTCCCCCGTGAGCTGCGCCAACCACATGAGTCCAGCAGACTGCACAGCTGGAGTGTGACAGGCACGGGGCGCAGAGATGCGGGGGGCATGGTGGGTGAGATGCCCGCTTGCCTTTGAGGGCCTTTGATGGGCTGCAGCTTCGAAGCCCAATTGAGATGGTGGACTTGGTTCCCTAGGCGGGTCGGTAGGACTTCAGGGCAGCTTTGCAGGTGGTTGGGCACCTGGCCCACACCTCAGTCTAGATGACTGTGTTTGTGGGTCTATTTAGAGCTAATGGATGAATTTTCATTTGAGCAAAGTGCTCCTTTGCCTTTCAAAAAATATTGCCGACCTTGGAGGAATTCAACACAGAGGAGAGATGAATGGATGCTCTGTGGGTCATGTTTGAATTGAAACATTCCTCCCTCTGTCTCTGTCATTCTTTCATGTCTCTTGCTTGGTTTCATACTTGGAAAAAGAGTATGAAGCCAGTGTAGTGTTTGTAATGTAGCTAATAACCTTCTGTCTTTGATGTAAACAGCCTCCAGGATGCCCCCCCACCACATCTTTCTTTTTGGATTTATGTTTTTGTTGCAGTATAATTGCTTTGCAGTGTTGTGTTGGTTTCCGCTGTACAACAGCATAAATCAGCCACAAGTATACGTGTACCCCCTCCCTGTTGAGCCTCTCTCCCCCACCCCCATCCCCCTCTCTGTGTCCTCACAGAGCACCAGGCTGAGCCCCCACGCTGCACAACAGCTCCCCACTGGCTGTCTGGTTTACACACGGTCGTGTATATATGTCATTGTTACTCCATCATCTGGTTACACATGGTCGTGTATGTATGTCATTGTTACTCCATTATCTGGTTACACACGGTCGTGTATATATGTCATTTTACTCCATCATCTTGAGACACTTCTGATTGTGATGGGACTCTAGGCTGCTTCCTCTTAACTCTTTAAAATACAAGCAGCACTGTTTTACAAACAAGTGATTTTGAGATCTAGCTATTTTCCTATTTTTCATCTATATATATATTTTTTTCAGTTTTGGGGGGGGTGGTCTGGGTGGGTGGACACTGTGGCTCTTCAGACATAAACATTTATAGATATGCAGCCAACTCGCATTGAGCCTTGGCTGAGTGTCCGTTCCCTGTCAGAGCCTTTCAGCTGGCTCTGGAGAACTTGAGGTGTGTCTCCATTAAGAAAGGTAGGCATGCTGGCAGCCGATCCAGTTTGTGTCTCAGGGTGAACGCCACTCTCCTCAGAGGACACCGAAGATCTGTGCCCACAAGAGAAGGATGGAGGAAAGAGCCTTGGACTTGGAGCTGACAGATTTAGGTTAAATGAAGAAAGAATTTTGTGGTCAGAGTTCTGAGCAGAAAAGCACCAGAAGAAAACTCTCCCTAGTTTCCACCCTTCCTGGGAGAACTCCAAGAAAGCGGCTTGCAGAACCAGCCCTCTGGGGCAGGGACCAGGGTTCTGCAGAGGACTTCTCAGGCTGGTGGCCTGTCCCATTCTTGTCCCAGTTGCCCATTCTCTGTCACAGCTCCCTCGAGAGGCATGTGATGGTCTGGGTGCACCAACTGTGTTTGGATTCTTTTAAGGGACCTCAGGTGTCAAACCATATGCTGGTGAGGCGAGTTAGCAACACGTGTTTCCACAGTCAGTGCAGCCCCTGATCAAACAGGGCTTGTTCCGTCCTGGCGTTTACAGTTTCCCTCCCCCAGCCAGTTGCCCTTCCCACTGGACCCAGTCCTGGCCTGCTGGCCTATCCTGCCAGCTCCCCACCCCCCGATTTCTTCTCAGGCTGCGCAGCCCCCAGGCACTGGGGTCTTGGAACATCTTCTCCCAGGGCTCCTCCCTTGGCTGAAGGCCGTCTCCCAGCAGCCGCCCTGGGCTCCTGCACTCCTCTGCTCTTGCTGGGCTTCCAGCCTCAGCCTTCCCTCCTTTTCTCCTGTCCTCGGGGTGATTTCTGCTGCTGCCTCATGTACATCTCCAGCTCCCCAGCATTGTGCTGCACTTCCATCTCCCTCTCGTCCTTCACACGGAGCCCAGGCTTCCCACAGGCCAACCCCCCACCCCACCCCACCCCCAGCCGCCAGAATCCCACATGGTCCGTGCTCCCTGTCAGTCTCCACGACCGCTCGGCACCTCTGTTGCTGATCATCTCCACACCAGGCAGGACTTGTGCTTAACTTTCCTTCTTCCTTTGTCTGCACCCTCTACTTAGTCACTTAGCCCTATTGAGTCCACCTCCTGAATACTTTATTGCCAGGAACTATTCACTTGTATTGAAAAGTTACAGGTGATTATTCTCAGGCTGACATCAGGGAAGATAGTTAAGGCTCCACATACCTAAATTCTGGAGTAGGGCTGGTGGATTTGAGGGCTCCTAAGTTCTTCCCAATTCTCCTTGTCTACGACTTTGTCCCCAGACTGGTGTCTTCTGTTGTGTCCAGTGTCTGCTTCTGCCAGCCGGGCCGCCTTTTTCTTGGTTCATGTCCTGTGAGGGAATGAGTCGCTCTTCAGTTCTTTGAGTTACTCGAAGGTTCCCGTTGGCCGCAGCAGTGGCTTGCGCACCGTGTGTGTGCCTCACGGAGTTGGGTGTGGCCGCCTTCCTGGGGCAGGGGGTGGCGTGGGGCTCGGGGAGGAGGGGGTGGAGAACACCCTGTGGAGCCCAGGGCCGCCCCGCTTCTGTTAGTGTCGAGGTGATGCCAGGGTGTGACCCTGGTCCTTCTCTGCATGCTCCGGCTCCTCTCTAGCTTCCTGTCCTTTATTAAAGAGCTGTAGTGTTTAAATGTCAAATAGTACTACTAGGTTTATAATGAATATTTCTTAGAAACACAAAGTGCAAGCTACCGTTCAGTCCCTGGTGCCTTCCCTTCCGCCCCCAGGTTCCCACTCCCTAGGCCACCGCGTTCGCGCGTTTCCCTCCAGACTTCTGAGTGCTTTTCGGACTCAGGTGTTCTCCAGTGGCTTCCTGCCTGGGGGATGAGGACTCGGCTCTTGTCTCCCCGTCCCATGGCCGCCCGCTGTGCTCCGTCTTCCTGCTGAGGGCACACGTGACTCACTCCCAGAGCCAGGGCAGCGCTGCCCTCCTCATGCAGTCGTTTGCTTTTTCCAGAATTAGTACAGTTGCCTGACTTATTTGCTTGGTTGTCAGTGTACCAATCATGAATTAATCCTTCCGCTCTCCAAACACTTGAAAAGCTCCTCTGAAGCGTTTCACTACCCCAAGTGGTGCCTCTGACTCACTTGTTTCCTGGGCCCTCAGCCTGAACCGGTTGCTCTCATCTGCGGC